AAACGTAAACATAGGTTTTCTGGTTGCTGTAATTTCTTTGTTGTAGTCATAAATAAGGAAGTTGAAGCAGTAGGTTCAATTACTGTTACCCTTTCCCATAACGGATACTCTCGCTTATGTCACTATTGTGGTTATTAGTCCGTTGGTTCATAAATAAAATGCCACTCAGGGTCTACCTTATTAGATTCTACATCACTTTCTAAATGTATCTATTTCAGTGAGCATGTATTTTTTCTCGATGCTGCTTGATAGTTTGTATTGAAACGTAGACAGGTTTTCTGGCAGCGGGCATTTGTTTTGTCACAATAAATTAGGAATCTAAAACTTCAATACCATCATCCTTTCCCATGATGTACACCCTTGTCCCCATCCTTCTTTAGTCCGTTGGTTGAAAGACAGTGCCCTCAATGGTTGAAAGATAATGCCCTCAATGGTTGAAAGACAATGCCCTCAATGGTTGAAAGACAATCCCTCAATGGTTGAAAGACAATGCCCTCAATGGTTGAAAGATAATGCCCTCAATGGTTGAAAGGTAATGCCCTCAGTGGTTGACAGACAATGCCCTCAATAGTTGAAAGACAATGCCCTCAGTGGTTAAAAGATAATGCCCTCAATGGTTGAAAGATAATGCCCTCAATGGTTGAAAGACAATGTCCTCAGTGGTTGAAAGATAATGCCCTCAATGGTTGAAAAATAATGCCCTCAATGGTTGAAAGACAATGCCCTCAATGGTTTAAAGATAATGCCCTCAATGGTTGAAAAATGATGCCCTCAGTGGTTGAAAGATAATGCCCCCAGTGGTTGAAAGATAATGCCCTCAATTGTTGAAAAATAATGCCCTCAGTGGTTGAAAGATAATGCCCTCAATGGTTGAAAGATAATGCCCTCAATGGTTGAAAGACAATGCCCTCAATGGTTGAAAGATAATGCCCTCAATAGTTGAAAGACAATCCCTCAATGGTTGAAAGACAATCCCTCAATGGTTGAAAGACAATGCCCTCAATGGTTGAAAGATAATTCCCTCAATGGTTGAAAGACAATGCCCTCAGTGGTTGAAAGATAATGCCCTCAATGGTTGAAAAATAATGCCCTCAATGGTTGAAAGACAATGCCCTCAGTGGTTGAAAGATAATGCCCTCAATGGTTGAAAAATAATGCCCTCAGTGGTTGAAAGATAATGCCCCCAATGGTTGAAAGATAATGCCCTCAATTGTTGAAAAATAATGCCCTCAGTGGTTTAAAGATAATGCCCTCAATGGTTGAAAGATAATGCCCTCAATGGTTGAAAGATAATGCCCTCAATGGTTGAAAAATAATGCCGCTCAGTGTCTACCTCACAAGCTTGATTTCAGAATTGGAAATTTCAATTCTAACAACCAGAAATTTCAAAGAATGCATGGTAGTCCTGTTGTTGGAGCAAATTTCTTTGTAACATCTACTGACATGTATCCAAGAGCTCATGATAAAGTTGGAATTGTACAATCGACTCTGGTTTGTGAAGAGATGTATGATGAATATAAAACAGGGTTTGTCGACTTTTTATATTCCTGATGATGGTACACCTTTACTTCCTTTTATAAGAATCCACTACGCGAATCATACAGTTTGTACATGGGTTTTTCGTTTCATACCTCAATGAACCGAAAAACAAATACACAGTCAATCTTTCAGTAAAATGATAACAAAACGTTGAATGAAACAATTATGTTTTATGCATGCTTACCTGAGTTTTACTCAATCAAGCAATTTGAAATAATACATGACCCTAATTCAAACCTGGCTAATGTTGTTCTTCATAAATGTCGTTGGTATAACTGGAATATTACAGAGAGTGACGTAAAACAACTACCAAGAAACAAAATAGTTGTGGTAGCCGTGTTGAACAGTGCGAGAGTAAAAGATTAACATAATATTTGTCCTATAAATATTTTAAGCAGTCAGACTGGAACAGGATTATATACTGAACAACAAAAGTTCCTGTGACATTGCCAACATTGCCATAAACACCAAATGGTGTTTCTGTGGACGTTAAATTGTCTTGCAACATCACATTGACTCGATCCTGCTTCAAGCATACATGGCTCGCAGACGCTCATTTTCGGACAGGCGTGGCATTTCGTAATGTTGAATAATTACGTAATTTTATTGTTTCTCTGAGTGGTTGTTGTCAGCACGATGCTAAACATTGCATATGGAATCCCGTTAACGCACATGTTTTTATACCCATTCTTGGGTAGTGAAATGCATTGGGCTTGCATAAAAGTCAACTTTTGCATGGAATGCATGCTTTTCTGTAACAGTTGCGTTTTTGTGACTTGATTCCATACATGTACTACAATATTGAAAACCATACTTTACTTGTTTGAAAAATACACTAAAATATTGGCATCACAGGAACTTTTGTCGTTGAGTATATTTTTTTCAAATGTATCAAGAGCTGTTGACACACAAAATGAGAGGAGAAATATGTACTTCATAGCATGTACTATGAAAAAAACCCAGTAACTCCTGAAATGGATCATGTCATGTTATCATAAATATATAGATTAAAAAACCCACAAAAGTTGCATGACTTGCATTTTGTTATGTGTGGAAAATTCCGCCCCAGCGAGTGCTGCACACCACCTGTGCACATGCCGCGGTCTAAGGGAAATAACTCATGGGTTTCACGTTGACAAATATCCATTACATGTACATGTTGGCGATCAAGCAGTAGCTGTTTACCATAATGATCATACAATGTTTTCACTTTTCACGTGGGTGGGGTGGGGGATGGGGGTCTATAGATTAGTATTATATCTACCTATATACCACTTTATAATGTCACAGTACATCGCAATGAAAGGAAACTGATCGGTTAAAGTCAAACACTTTTACTGTATTTTCTTTAAAAAATATCTGTCAGAAGTGTTCGGTCCGACTTGGCCCCGGCTGTCAAAATCAACTTTAAACACACAGATGTATCATCAAATGTATTTACATGAAATTAGCATTATTTACTTAGATATAGTACTAACCGATAAATGTGAACGCAAAACCGACAGATTGAAATTTGTATCACAATAGCTAGAAGTATTTGATACGTTTCAAATTCTATTTCGTTTAACGATTGCTTACACAAAGCTCCACTTTCTGGTTTTCAAGCGTTTTACTCCGAATCACTTTATTATTTTTCACGTTTTTTGGTTGGGGATTGTGCATTAATGTCACGTGTGTATGTTGCATCGATAAGATACAGATACTGTAAGTCGGTCTAAATTACACCCGATTGTGTTTTTGGATTACATCGCCTCCCTTTTTGACACAATAATGCTCCTATTGCATTTCTGAAAATAATCTTTTCCGAGGCAGTAAAGAAATGAATTGGCATTACATACTAATATATGTAGATGACTTAATATTTTCTAAAACGTTTTTGGAACATTTGAGTCCCCTTGATGCTGTATTCCAAAAGATCAAAGAAGCAGGACTCTAAAACCAAGCAAATGTAAATTTGCGACAAAGCAAATCACCTAATTAGGGCATATTTTCAGCAAAGGAGGCATCCATTTCGATATACTTCAAAACTAGATTCAGTCACACAGATCCCTCCCTCTAAAAATGTCCATGATGTGTGTCATGTCTTAGATTTGGTCTCGTATTATCACAAATTTGTAGCAAACCGTTCTGGTATTGCCTCCACTCTAAACAGCCTAAAATGGTCCAACAATTGTCAAAGGGCATTCGAAAAGTAAAGCAAGCCCTTACAACAGTCCCCATCTTTGCATATCCAAACCAAAACAAAGCCTTCAACCTCACACTTGATTCATCCCAAACTGCAATAGGATACATTTTAAGCCATCATGATTCTCATGGCTTTACTTTGAATGACGTTGTTAATTCATGTCTTTTGACCATACAAGTAAATTATTTTCCTGTTCTGTTTTTAGGAACAAACAATTCATTGGTAACGTTTCATTTGCTCGTCAGTTTTCAAGTAAGGGTATATGATGCTTAATGGTCATTTGCCATCACAGTCAACAACTGCAATGGCCTCTTGAAATGGAAGATATGAAATGATTATTAAGGGTTACAGGCATACTGTATGTCTGTCAAAGATTATGGCTTTGCTCAGAAAATATTTTGTATTGATGAGGATGGCCATATTGTGGTCGAGACTTTTTATTGAGGCTGTTTTTTAAGCAGATGGAGGATGAGTTTTTTATTTCCACAAATTTGTGAGCTGTGGTTTTTTCCTCCAAAAATCCGGGTTAGAACTGATCTCTGCAACCAGTGTGTCGTGAGAGGCGACTAACTGGATCGGGTGGCCAGGCTGAAACACAATTGTAGTATTGTGGCCAATGATTGTAAAACAACAAACAAACAAACACAATTGTAGTATTGTGGCCAATGATTGTAAAACAACAAACAAACAAACACAAATGTAGTCGTGCGGGTAATGGTTGTTAAACAACAAACAAACACAATTGTAGTAGTTTTGGCTAATGGTTGTTAAACAACAAACAAACAAACACAATTGTAGTGGTCTCGCTAATGACTGTTAAACAACAAACAAACAAACAATATTGCAGTGGTGCGGCTACTGACTGTTAAACAAAAAAAACACACCATTGTAGTAGTGTGGCTAATGAATTTTAAACAACAAACAAACAAACCGAATTGTAGTTGAGCTACAAATGATTGTTAAACAACAAACAATTGTAGTTGTGTGGCTAATGATTGGTTGACAACAAACAACCAAACACAATTGTAGCAGTTTGGCAACTGGTTGTTAGACAACAAACAAACAAACAAACACAATTGTAGTGGTGCGACGAATGATTGTTAAAAAACAAACAAACACAATTGTAGCTGTAGAAGTGTGGTGAATGATTGTTAAACAACAAACAAACACAACTGTGATGATGCGGCTAATGATTTGTAACAACAAACAAACACAACTATTGTGGTGCGGCTGATAATTAAAACCTCGGCCGGTGCCATATGTTGTGTCTCACGACTGTGGTACTTAAGTTGTAATTCGATCTCGTTCTGTGATAAGACGACCTGAGTTGTGGACCGCATGTGTGTCACATTGTGTCCTGACAGCATGACCAGCACCGCGGTATGGGCGCTGATCAGCTGCATTGTGGGTGTAGCCCGGGGGCAGGTAGGTGTCCGAAATATTCTATACAGACCACCAACAACAGATATAGCCACGTCGTACATGCAGTGAGGGATAGTGTTGAAAAATTGTGAAATGCGTTACAAGCATGTCATTTGGTACAATGATTGCTCAATCTGTAAGAAGTTATTTTATATGGACCCAAGCTAAATTATCCCCCCTGGTGGCCATGTGACCTACAAAGCCAATATGGCCGCCATCGTTTACATATTCGGTAACATTCCGCTCCCAAATGACGTAGTATCTTGAGACCTGATCAGTCCTACTTCCCATTGATAGATAGGGTCTCTTATATACTCCACTACTACCAATATACATATACACCATATCTCCCCAACTGTCGGTGTCCTGGTCCTAGAGTACACACAGCATATCTCCCTAACTGTCGGTGTACTGGTCCTAGGGTACACACAACACATCTTCCCAACTGTCGGTGTACTGGTCCTAGAGTACACACAGCATATCTCCCCAACTGTCGGTGTCCTGGTCCTAGGGTACACACAACACATCTTCCCAACTATCGTTGAACTGGTCCTAGAGTACACACAACATATCTTCCCAACTGTCGGTGTACTGGTCCTAGAGTACACACAGCATATCTCCCCAACTGTCGGTGTCCTGGTCCTAGAGTACACACAACATATCTTCCCAACTGTCGGTGTACTGGTCCTAGAGTACACACAACATATCTCCCCAACTGTCGGTGTACTGGTCCAAGAGTACACACAGCATATCTTCCCAACTGACTGTGTACTAGTCCTAGAGTACACACAACATATCTTTCCAACTGTCGGTGTACTGGTCCTGAAGTACACACAACATATATCCCCAACTGTCGGTGTCCTGGCCCTTGAGTACACACAACATATCTCCCAAACTGTCGGTGTACTGGTCCTAGAGTACACACAACATATCTCCCCAACTGTCGGTGTCCTGGTCCTAGAGTACACACAGCATATCTCCCCAACTGTCGGTGTACTGGTCCTAGAGTACACACAACACATCTTCCCAACTGTCGGTGTACTGGTCCTAGAGTACACACAGCATATCTCCCCAACTGTCGGTGTACTGGTCCTAGAGAACACACAGCATATCTCCCCAACTGTCGGTGTACTGGTCCTAGAGTACACACAGCATATCTCCCCAACTGTCGGTGTACTGGTCCTAGGGTACACACAGCATATCTCCCCAACTGTCGGTGTACTGGTCCTAGGGTACACACAACACATCTTCCCAACTATCGTTGAACTGGTCCTAGAGTACACACGGCATATCTTCCCACCTGTCGGTGTCCTGGTCCTAGAGTACACACGGCATATCTTCCCACCTGTCGGTGTACTAGTCCTAGAGTACACACGGCATATCTTCCCTACTGTCGTTGTCCTGGTCCTAGAGTACACACAGCATATCTTCCCACCTGTCGGTGTACTGGTCCTAGGGTACACACAACACATCTTCCCAACTGTCGGTGTACTGGTCCTAGAGTACACACAACATATCTTCCCAACTGTCGGTGTACTGGTCCTAGGGTACACACAGCATATCTTCCCAACTGTCGGTGTACTGGTCCTAGGGTACACACAGCATATCTCCCCAACTGTCGGTGTACTGGTCCTAGAGTACACACAACACATCTTCCCAACTGTCGGTGTACTGGTCCTAGAGTACACACAGCATATCTTCCAAACTGTCGGTGTACTGGTCCTAGAGTACACACAGCATATCTCCCCAACTGTCGGTGTACTGGTCCTAGAGTACACACAGCATATCTCCCCAACTGTCGGTGTACTGGTCCTAGAGTACACACAGCACATCTTCCCAACTGTCGGTGTACTGGTCCTAGAGTACACACAGCATATCTCCCCAACTGTCGGTGTACTGGTCCTAGAGTACACACAGCATATCTTCCCAAATGTCGGTGTACTGGTCCTAGAGTACACACAGCATATCTTCCCAAATGTCGGTGTACTGGTCCTAGAGTACACACAGCATATCTTCCCAAATGTCGGTGTACTGGTCCTAGGGTACACACAACACATCTTCCCAACTATCGTTGAACTGGTCCTAGAGTACACACAGCACATCTTCCCAACTGTCGGTGTACTGGTCCTAGGGTACACACAACACATCTTCCCAACTATCGTTGAACTGGTCCTAGAGTACACACAACATATCTTCCCAACTGTCGGTGTACTGGTCCTAGGGTACACACAACACATCTTCCCAACTATCGTTGAACTGGTCCTAGAGTACACACAACATATCTTCCCAACTGTCGGTGTACTGGTCCTAGAGTACACACAACATATCTTCCCAACTGTCGGTGTACTGGTCCTAGGGTACACACAACACATCTTCCCAACTATCGTTGAACTGGTCCAAGAGTACACACAGCACATCTTCCCAACTGTCGGTGTACTGGTCCTAGGGTACACACAACACATCTTCCCAACTATCGTTGAACTGGTCCTAGAGTACACACAACATATCTTCCCAACTGTCGGTGTACTGGTCCTAGAGTACACACAACATATCTTCCCAACTGTCGGTGTACTGGTCCTAGGGTACACACAACACATCTTCCCAACTATCGTTGAACTGGTCCTAGAGTACACACAGCACATCTTTCCAACTGTCGGTGTACTGGTCCTAGGGTACACACAACACATCTTCCCAACTATCGTTGAACTGGTCCTAGAGTACACACAACATATCTTCCCAACTGTCGGTGTACTGGTCCTAGAGTACACACAACATATCTTCCCAACTGTCGGTGTACTGGTCCTAGGGTACACACAACACATCTTCCCAACTATCGTTGAACTGGTCCTAGAGTACACACAACACATCTTCCCAGCTATCGTTGAACTGGTCCTAGGGTACACACAACACATCTTCCCAACTATCGTTGAACTGGTCCTAGAGTACACACAACATATCTTCCCAACTGTCGGTGTACTGGTCCTAGAGTACACACAACATATCTTCCCAACTGTCGGTGTCCTGGTCCTAGAGTACAAACAGCATAACTTCCCAACTGTCAGTGTACTGGTCCAAGAGTACACACAGCATATCTTCCCAACTGTCGGTGTACTAGTCCTAGAGAACACACAGCATATCTTCCCAACTGTTGGTGTCCTGGTCCTAGAGTACACACAGCATATCTTCCCAACTGTCGGTGTACTGGTCCTAGTGTACACACAGCATATCTTCCCAACTATTGGTGTCCTGGTCCTAAAGTACACACAGCATATCTTCCCAACTGTCGGTGTCCTGGCCCTAGAGTACACACGGCATATCTTCCCAACTGTCGGTGTCCTGGTCCTAGAGTACACACAGCATATCTTCCCAACTGTCGGTGTCCTGGCCCTAGAGTACACACGGCATATCTTCCCAACTGTCTGTGTCATGGTCCTAGAGTACACACAACATATCTTCCCAACTGTCGGTGTACTAGTCCTAGAGTACACACAGCATATCTTCCCAACTGTCGGTGTACTGGTCCTAGTGTACACACGGCATATCTTTCCAACTATTGGTGTCCTGGTCCTAGAGTACACACAGCATATCTACCCAACTGTCGGTGTCCTGGTCCTAGAGTACACACGGCATATCTTCCCAACTGTCGGTGTCCTGGTCCTAGAGTACACACGGCATATCTTCCCAACTGTCGGTGTACTGGTCCTAGAGTACACACAACATATCTCCCCAACTGTCTGTGTCATGGTCCTAGAGTACACACAACATATCTTCCCAACTGTCGGTGTACTAGTCCTAGAGTACACACAGCATATCTTCCCAACTATCGGTGTACTGGTCCTAGAGTACACACGGCATATCTTCCCAACTGTCGGTGTACTAGTCCAAGAGTACACACAGCATATCTCCCCAACTGTCGGTGTCCTGGTTCTTAGAGTACACACAACATATCTTCCCAACTGTCGGTGTCCTGGTCCTAGAGTACACACAGCATATCTTCCCAACTGTCGGTGTCCTGGTCCTAGAGTACACACGGCATATCTTCCCAACTATTGGTGTCCTGGTCCTAGAGTACACACAGCATATCTTCCCAACTATTGGTGTCCTGGTCCTAGAGTACACACGCATATCTTCCCAACTATTGGTGTCCAGGTCCTAGAGTACACACAGCATATCTTCCCAACCGTCGGTGTCCTGGTCCTAGAGTACACACGGCATATCTTCCCAACTATTGGTGTCCTGGTCCTAGAGTACACACAACATATCTCCCCAACTGTCGATGTACTGGTCCTGGAGTACACACGGCATATCTCCTCAACTGTCGGTGTCCTGGTCCTAGAGTACACACAACATATCTTCCCAACTATTGGTGTCATGTTCCTAGAGTAAACACAGCATATCTTCCCAACTGTCGATGTACTTGTCCTAGAGTACACACAACACATCATCACAACTATAGGTGTCCTGGTCCTAGAGTACACACGGCATATCTCCTCAACTGTCAGTGTACTGGTCCTAGAGTACACACAGCATATCTCCCCAACTGTCGGTGTCCTGGTCCTAGAGTACACACAACACATCTTCCCAACTATCGGTGTCCTGGTCCTAGCGTACACACACCATATCTTCCCAACTGTCGGTGTACTGGTCCTAGAGTACACACAACATATCTTCCCAACTATCGGTGTCCTGGTCCTAGAGTACACACAACATATCTTACCCACATGTCGGTGTCCTGGTCCTAGTGTACACACAGCATATCCCCCCAACTGCCGTTGTCCTGGTCCTAGAGTACACACGGCATATCTTCCCTACTGTCGGTGTCCTGGTCCTAGAGTACACACGGCATATCTTCCAAACTGTCGGTGTCCTGGTCCTAGAGTACACACAACATATCTTACCCACATGTCGGTGTCCTGGTCCTTGTGTACACACAGCATATCCCCCCAACTGCCGTTGTCCTGGTCCTAGAGTACACACGGCATATCTTCCCTACTCTCGGTGTC